AACTATTTTTTTTAACATATAAATTGTTTATGTTTATTTAAGAGCAACTATGCAAATGAACAAACATCTAGAAAAGTAGACTATATTCTATTATTTTCCATGTGAATCCCAGAATGTTCATTCTTCTCTGCCTTTTCTAAAAAGTTCTTTAAAGGGGGATTCCGTTTTTTTTTTTATACATTGGCCCCTTGATTTAACGTTATTACATCATCTTCTACTCACCCAAATGAGTTTTGTGTCATTTGGAGCCGTTCTGTTAGTTTTCTTTTTTACAATTTTGGCATCATTTTTTGGCATATTTTACATACTTTTTGCCTCAATACTGCAGTTAATGAATAATTGATTTGACGATTATTTCAATAATAAAATAAATGTGATGGATTACTTTAACCTTACATAAAACCGTTCTTAGTTTAACATTTAAACCCATTTTGAGTCCAATTGTTTATGATTGATAAAAGTGAACCAATTATCAGCCAGACAATAATTTTCTTACATTCTTTGAAATCACAATTCAATTAAGTTAGGAACATAAGCAACAATCATATCTCTCAATATTATTGTTCATTGATCACAGGAGGCCATGCAATGTTTGCTTTCCATTGTTAACATCCTCTTTGATATGCTACCCATTTTTATTTCATTAAAACTTTGTTATAACTGGTGGAAGAGAAAGTAATTTGAACCTAAAGAATTATTTTTAAAAATAATTGGTGCAGCCATGGGCTTAAAAACCCTCTATCAGTAGCTGTCTGGTGCTGAAGGTAACGCAAAGATGGCGGCGTTAGTCTGGGCTTTTCTTTTCTGTTGAAGATGTCAGAAATCTGAGGCCATCTGGCCGCGACGCTCATCTGCGTGTGTCTGTTAGAACGTCTTGAAGATGTCTCAAGGAAAAACGGCGAGAGGCTTAGTCCTTCCTATTGTTGTCAGCACATGGTTTTAATGAGATGCGTCTCTTATTTGCATAGCATGCCTGGCAGCAGTGACTGTGGAGAGGTATTGATTTGGGAGTTTGGTTGTAGACAGAAGGGAGCTGAAAATGTTGGCTGAGGTCAGTGGGTCAAGCCGGGACTCACACTCATCCACCCTGAGGGTTACACACAGAAACAAGCTTCCTTTGAACTGTCTATGGGGCTGGCAGGCTCTCAACTCACTTTAAAATGGGCAGGTGTGTGTGTGTGTGTGTGTGTGTGTGTGAGGTCTTCAGTTCTTCCCATGTCTTATTTTGGGATTCTTTTTTTCCACGTTTTTACTGTAGGTTTTATTGCCTTGTTGTTTCTAGAAATAGTCTGAGGATTGTTTTTAATGAATACCTGATAGCCTGTGACCATCAGGTGTTATCATCTGATTCAATGCTTAGACACTTTTCATGAATGTAGCTACATCCCCCGCCTCATTCATGCGGCTCAATTATGTAACAGTTGTTGAAAGAGGATCAAGTCCTGCAGTCGGTGTTTGGTTTCTCCCCGTGGGCTCGTTTAGGAACACGGTGGTCCGACAGAGCAGATGGGATGAGGAGCGTTTTTAAACCAAACAATAACATAAATAAATCAATAAAAAATTAAATACATTAAGATTTGAAAATGGGTTTATTTAACCAGCAGCAGTCAACTAATCGATTTATTATTTTCCTGGATTTGTTCACCAACTACTTTTAGTCTTTATTATGAG